GTGCCTGGTCACAATTAAAACTTTTGTGCATCAAAGGACACTATCAAGAAAATGAAGAGATACCCAAATAATAGAGAAATCATTTACGCATTGTATTTTGAATAAGGATTTGGTACCCGGAATATAAAATGAACTTTTAAAATCCAACAACAAAAAAAAAACAACCCAAATAAAACATGGGCAGGGGGTTGGGAGTGGTAGTTCACACCTGTAATCCCAGCACTTTGGGAGGCCAAGGCAGGCAGATCACTTGAGGCCAGGAGTTTGAGACCAGCCTGATCAACACAGCGAAACCCTGTCTATAAAAAATACAAAAAAAATTTAGCCAGGCATGGTGGTGCATGCCTGTAATTCCAGCTACTTGGGAGGCTGAGGAATGAGAATCACTTGAACCTGGAAGGCGGAGGTTGCCGTGAGCTGAGATCACGCTGCACCATTGCACTCCAGCCTGGGTGACAGAGGGAGACTCTGTGTCAAAACAAGCAAACAAACAAACAAACAAACAACAGTAACAAAAATGGGCAAAGGACTTGAATAGACACTTTTCCAAAGAAAAATAACTCAGCAAGTACATGAAAAGATGCTCATGTCATTTGTCATTAGAAAAATGCAAATCAAAACACAACGAGATAGCACTTCACACCTACTGGTATGACTATAATCAAAAAGGCAAGTGCTGGAAAGATGTGGAGAAGCTGGAACCCTCATGCATTGGTGGGAATGTGCAGTGGTGCAGCTGCTGTGGAAAAGTCTGGCAGTTCCTAAAGAAGCTAAACACAGACCTAGCCTTCCACTCCTAGTATATACCCAAGAAAATGCGAAGTGGGCGTTTAAACAAAAGCTTATACACAAAAATTCATAGTATTATAGCATTATTCCTGATAGTCAAAAAGTGGAAACAACTGAAATGTTTATTAATAGAAAAATGGATTGGGCAAAATGTGGTATGTCCATACAATGCAATATTATTCAGTCATAAGGAATGAAGCGCTGGGACAACATACAACATAGCTAAGCTTTTTTTTTTTTTTTTGAGACACAGTCGTGCTCTGTTGCCCAGGCTGCAGTG